TGTGTGTGCAACACGCCACAGTGTGTGTGCACGTGAAGGTCAGGGGGCAGATTCTCTGAGAGTGTGGGTCCTGGGAACTGTGCTAGCAGTGAGCAGCCCTAAAAGCGGTCATCCTTGGCTACACAGAGAATTTGAAACTAGCCTGGGCTATGTGAGACTGTCTAAAAAACAAGTAAAAAGAATCTTCAGTAAGGGTTGGGGCTGGGAGGTGGCCCAGAGGTTAAGAGCACTGGCTGCTCTCGCAGAGGACCTGGGATTGGTTCCCAGAACCCTCTAGTTCAGAACCCCCTAAAGCTGCAGCTCCAGGGCTCTATGGCCTCTGACCTCTGTGGGCACTGCACACAGAGGCTCCACATACACCTGTCCTCCCAAGGCTTGGGAGGTGAGAGCAAGATCAGAAGTTCAAGGCCAGCCTTGCTACAGAGCAACTTCCAGGACAATGTGGCCTACGTGATAAATAGTAATAACCAATAAATAATGAGCAGTAATGGAGAATCCTCTGTCCGTTCTAAGCATCAGGGACACGCCTCACTCTTGATTGATGGGGAAACTGAGGCACAGAACATATCCAAGAGAAAGTGTTGGAGCAGCTTCCTGATCTCAGGCTGACTGGCCCCAGAGACCTGTGTGCACCCCGCCCCCGGTCCTCTGCCCCCACACACCTGCTAAGTAGACGGAGACCCCACAGCAGAACAGGCCAAGCGCCGAGTGCCTGAGGAGGCGGCAGTCGTACAGAAACCAGTCCGACCTGAAGGAGGGCGACAGGAAGAGGGCCAAAGTCTAGAGACCCCCCCCTCCCCCGCCCACCTACCTAACCATCCGCTCACCCACTCATCACCACCGCGTGCACCCGGCCGCCGGTGCATCCCCGCACCCACCCATCTGCTTCAATCTACGCAGTTCCACCAGCGTCAGGTGCTGTGGGAGACTCAATGCGGGACGCGGGTGGGACAAGGAGCGCGCGCCTCACCGCATCCCCAGTGCTCCGGCTGCAGCCATCTACACCTGCAGCCCGGACTCAGGGGCCTGAGGGACCCCGGCCGGGCTGCGGCTTGCAGCTGATTCACCCCGACAGTCCTGTCCTTCCTGGACCCTGCCGCGGGGCTGGGGTGCGGCTCCGATGATTGGCATGTGCCCCCGGGATGCACCCCAAGCACCAGCGAGGGAAGGAGGTCGGGGGCGGGCACCGGCGCGCTCTCGGAGCCTCAGTTTCCCCCTCTGCAGGTAGAGGCGCTGGCGTCCTACCTGGCCGGCCCCGGGCCGCGCGCCAGCTCGGCGCCCAGGTGACCGCAGAGCGCGGCGAGCAGCAGGCAGCTAAGCCCGAGGACCTGCGCCAGCGCGGCCAGCGCAGTCGCCAGCGGCAGCAACGCCCCAGCCGCAGCTTCGGGGAGCCCCGCGTCGGGGTCCAGCTCAGGGTGCAGCACGTCGGTGCGCACCCCCCGCAGCTCCGCGCGCCCCGCCTGGAGCTGGAACAGCAGCTGCGCAGCCAGCGCGACCAGCACGGCGGCCGGGATGCCCAGCAGGGTCATCGCGGCCAGCACCCGGCCTCCGTACGAGCGGCCCATGGTGCGGGCCTGGGTTGAAGAGAAGGCGCGGGGAGGGGAGGCGGCTGGGGTGGGGTGGGGCGCCACGGGCCTCTGGACAGGGCCCCGAGTGCTGCGCGACAACTTGGGAGAAAGTGTTTTCTGCTCTGCTCCGGCCGCGGGCGCCGCCCCCGGGTGTGCGGAGGAGGAGGGGGACGGAGGGGGACGGAGGGGGAGGGGGACGGGAGGGGCGGACGGGAGGGGGGACGGAGGGGCGCGGCGGGAGAGCCAGGGCCTGCGGCAGAGGGGCGTGGCGCGGCTAAGGCGGGGCCGCAGGGGCGTGGCTTAAGAGGATGGGGCTCAGGGACGCCCCAACAGCGGGACCTGAAGGGACGGGTCTTCCACGGGTGCGGTCCGGAGTGGGGCCCCCTGAAAAGGGACCGGAAAAGGGGGTCTCGCGAGGCGGAGCTAGGAGGGCTCCGGGTGCTGGGGCGACGAGGTGACCAGGTGGGCGGGGAGCACAGTGGGGCGGTGCCTGGAAATGCACGTGTTTGGGAGAGGGAGCGCAGGGGCGGGGCCAGGGGCGGGGCCATCCGGTCGCCCCACCCTAATGGGCGGGCTTGGTGGGGTGGGGAAGTGGGGAGGGCCCAGAAGGCAGGGGTAGGCCAGGTCTGCGCAGCTAGTTCTAGGACAGTCTACATGGAGAGACTCTGTCTCAAGAGAAGAAAGGTTGTGGAAGGGCGATGAAGAGACGGCAGGAGATGGAGCTGACCGGGCGCGCACAGAGCCCGAGGATGGAGATGGGGGACCCACGGGGTGCCTGGGGTTGGAAGCCGGACCTCTGCAGATGCAGACAGGTGCCTCCCCGTCGTCCTGAGCGCCTTAGTTTACTTCTGGCACTTAGTTTACTAAAAAAAAAATTAAGATTTATTTATTTTATGTGTATGAATGTCTTGCCTACATGTATGTCCGTGTATGCTGTGCGTGCCAGGTGGCTGTGGAGGCCAAGAGAGGGCGTGGTTTGCGGATGATTGTGAACCACCATATGGATGCTGGGAACTGAACCTCCAGCTCCAAGAGCAGCCCGCGAGCCGTCTCCCTCCTACATTAAATGTGTATATGTTTGAATAAACTGGGCACACTGACACAGACCTGTCTTCATTGCAATTCAGAGGCGTAGGCAGGGACTGGAGGCACTCAGAAGACAGCCTGACCGAGAAGACACTATCCTTAAAAGTCCACAGAGGGCCTGGAGACCAGCTGGCTCAGCGGTTAAGTGGCTCATTCTGCTCCCGGCATGCGGGTCAGACAGCCAGGGGATCCCACACCTTCTTCCGGCCTCTGGTCTCACACTCTCTCAGATGCACGTATGCCGCCCCAAACATATAATAAAAATTAGGCCAGGTGGTGATAGCGTGCACCTTTAATCCCAGCACTCGTGAGGCAGAGGCAGGTGGATCTCTGTGAGTTCAAGGCCGGCCTGGTCTGAGAGTGAGTGACAAGTCAGCCAGGGCTACACATAGAAACCCTGTCTCAAAATAAATACATAAATAAATCTTAATAAAATTAAAGAGTGCTTGGATGTAGCTGTGTGGTAGATATGTGTACGTCAGGCTCCGGCTCCGGTGTGTGAGTGTGCCGTGTGAGCCGGGGGAGTCTGTGTGTGTGGTGCAGGTGGGTAAGGAGTGCGGCAGCTGTCTGGTGGACTGTCTATCATGCCGGCTGTTTTCGTGGGTGCTGAGGACTGGGACTCATGTCCTCCTGTTTGCATAGCAAGGACTCTTACCTACCAGGTCGTCTCCTCAGCTCCCTTCAACGGTTTGGTTTGTTTTTATTTATTCTGTTTTTCGAAACAAGGTTTCTCTGTGTAGCCCTGCCTGTCCTGGAAAGATCTGTAGACCAGGCTGGCCTCGAACTGATCCGCCTGCCTCTGCCTCCTGAGTGCTGGGATGTGAGCCACCATGGCCTGGCTACTCAATTGGCTACTTTTAATGAACTGAGATGAAACTCTCATACAAGTGCCGATTTTTTTATTCGGTGGTCTATAGCACATTTACAATGCAACCCCTCCTCTGCCTGGTTCCGGAACATTCCCTCTCTTTAAGAGAGCCCTTCCCATCAGTCACGCCCCACTCTCCTCAGTGGGCAGGCAGCCCCTGCCTGCCCAGCGCCCCTCGTGGTTTTCCCTGTTTGGGACATCTCCTGCTAGGTGAAGCCTTTTGGGTCTGGCTGCCGTCATTTCATACCAGGGTTGTAACCTGTTCCGGTGCCTTATTCCTGTTCATGAGCAATACTCCACTCTGGACACCCCACATGAGTTGTTCTGTTGATGGACATTTTTGGCAAGTGTCAATCACAATGTTTCAAACAGGCATAGGCAAGTATGAGAGCCCCTGCCTCGAGTAGTGAGTTCTAGGAGCCGAATTGCTGATTCAGATGCTAACTCCATTTTACTGTTCCTGGAACTACAAAACAGGTTCCCATGGCAACTGTACAATTTTTCTTTTCTTTTTTTTTTAAAGATTTATTTGTGTATGTATCCCTGTACACCAGAAGAGGGCACCAGATCCCACTATAGATGGTTGTGACCCACCCTGTGGGTGCTGGGAATTGAACTCAGGACCTCTGGAAGAGCAGTCAGTGCTCTTAACCTCTGAGCCATCTCTCCAGCCCCTAATTTTCTTTTTTAATTAGTATTTTAGAATTCCAGCCAGGTGGTGACAGTGCATGTCTTTAATCCTAGCCCTAGAATTCGAGGCCAGCCTGGTCTATACAGTGAGTTCCATGATAGCCAGGGCTACACAGAGAAACCCTGTCTTGAAAAACAAAATCATAATCATAGTAATTTAAGGACAGCTTGTAGGTGTAGGCCCTTTCCTTGCCCCACGTGGGTACCCAGGATCGAATCCAGGCAGTCAGGCTTGGTGGCCAGCAGGCATCCTTATTCAGTCGTGAGCCTCAGTTTCCCCCACTACTCCAAGTTGGGGACAGAGGCGGATGAACTGCTTGCGGGGTCACGACTCCTCCGGTTCGTAGCCTGCTTCCTTTATCTTGTCAGATTCTTGCCCCAGAAAGCCAGGCCGCCAGCCCCGTGGGCGCGCTGGACGTCTCTTTTGCACGCACCGTCCCCTTCGGGCCGCCAGAGGGCGCGGTAGGCAAGGCTAAACCATCGGCCTGCAGGTCCCACGCGCTTCTGCAGAGGGAGGTGCCTGTCCCGAGGAGCGGCGCAAGACCCGGGCTTCCCCGTCTGCGGCTTGGTAGCCCAGGCCGACCTAGAGCCCTCTACATAACCAAAAACGGCCTTGAGCTCCGGATCCTCTTCTGCACACCTCTGTTTTCTTGTTTATGGGTTGTTGTTTTGCACAAGACTTAAAATCGTATTTTTGTTCTGTGTGTGTGTGGGTGTGCACGTGTTACCACGAGCGTGCGGAGGTCAGCAACTTGCGGAGTCCGTCCTCCCTTCCACCTTGTGGGTTCTGGGCACTGGACTCGGGTTGTCGGTCTTCACAGCAAGTGCCATAGAGCACCGACCCTGCGCCTGCGTCCAGAGCACTGAACGACCGGCCTGCGCCACAAACCCTGGCTGCAGGAGTGGTTTTTGTTTGTTTTGAACAGGGTATTTGAGGCTGGGGTTCTATGGTTATAAAGCTTGCTTTGCATGCACTAAGTCCCGGGTACCGTGCCCAGGACCTCTTCGTGGGGATCCCTACGTTCTTTCAAGGACTAGGGGTGACGTGGAAGAGGGAACTTGTCTGTCTTTGGCTGCTGTTCCAGCTACTCCTTAGGCTGAGGCAGAAGAATGGTGAGTTCAAGGCCAGTCTGCACCGCTGTCTAGGGAACGTCCTGAGCATGCAGGAGGACAAGGCTAATCGGAGCCCCGCCCCTGCACCCGGGGTCTTCGGGGGTTACCATAGCCCCGCCTCTAGCCCGCCCCTACACCCAGGTACCCATGGGGGTCACCAGAGCCCCGCCCCTGCAGCCGGGTTCCCCTGGGGGCCACCAGAGCTCTGCCCTTGCACCTGCATCCCCTGGGGGTCACCAGAGTCGTGGCTGCTCCGGCCGCGGCCCCGGCCCGCCTCCCGGTCCACGCGGTACTTGCGGCGGCGCAGAGGCTCGGTGATGCTGCGCCTTGCGGGCTCGTCCAGGTCCTCGGGCTGCAGGAAGCTGCGGTCCAGCAGCTCGGCCGCCTCCTGCCAGTTGGCGAAGCAGGCGGGTCCCAGGCGCTGGATCTCGTCCGTCGCGTCGCTCGTCAGCACGTCCCCGCCCGGCTTGAGCACCACGACGGCCGGCAGACGCCGCACGGAGAACTGGCGCCCGAGGTCCCTGCGGGGAGCGCGCGTCAGCCCGCCCTTGACACCCCGCAGCTCCCGATGCGCGCGCGCGCGCTGCCCCCGAGGGCCGCCAGGGCCGCCCCAGGCCCCGCTGGCTCCCCAGGGCTTTTGCACCGCTCCTCACACCTTCCCTCTCCCTGGCCATCCCCACGTTCAGTGTCCACCTGCTGTCTGTATGTGTTGGTCTGCTGTCGCTGGGAAGAAGGAGGCCCCGGGGGCAGGGATTTCAAACAGCTGAGGAATGTTCCGGAAATGTGTGTTGAATGAATGAATGCATATTGTGAAAGGCTATCAGATAACGTCAAGCTGGGCCTCTAGTGGGAGTGACATTTGAACTGAGATCTTACGGGTGGAGGGAGGGAGGGAAGACAGGGGGAAGTGTTTGTTCCGGACAATGACAGAGTATGTGCAAAGGCCCTGGGGTGAGACCCTGACAGGTACAGCTGGCATCTCACAGAGACCCTGAATGGACAGGGGCAGGGATGTCAGTTCTGAAGCCACCAAGAAGCTGTGAGAATCTCCAGGAGACCCTGCACCCCACTCCCAGCAAGGACAGAATCCACTCCTCTGTGAGCTCCACATTCACGGAGGAAGGCCGGCATGAATTCTCATTATGAAACTATGCCTTGAACTCTCCATGCAGACTGAGATCTCACAGAAATCAGCCTGTGGGGACTAAAGGCAAACGCCACCACACACATCTTAGCCGAGGTTTTTTGTTTGTTTTTTGTTTTGGTCTATTGAACAGTTTCTCTGTGTAGCCCTGGCTGTCCTGGATCTTGCTCTGTAGCCCAGGCTGGCCTCCAACTCAGAGATCCACCTGCCTCTGCCTCTGAGTGCTGGGATTAAAGGTGTGCGCCACCACCACCCGGCTTTCAGCTGAGGTTCTCATCCATGGTTCTTGGTTAGTTTTTGTTGTTGGTTTTTTGTTTTGTTTTTGAGGCCCAAGCTGGCCTCATGTTTATATAGACAAGGGTGACTTGCTGAGCAGTTACGCACACTCCTTTAATCTCAGTCAGCGGGAGGCAGAGGCAGGTGGATCTCTAGAATGAGTTCCAGGACAGCCAGGGCTACACAGAGAAATCCTCTCTCAAAACAAAAACAAACAGACAAAAAAAGTGGCTGCACTCCTGATCCTCCTGCCTGTTGGGATGATGGTTCGTGTGGGTGGCTGGGTTCAAGCCTGCTGTTGGAGACTCTGCCCACCGAAACCCAGCTTTCTGCTTGCTCTCTTGTCCTGCGTCTGAGTGTTTGCCTCCAAGCACGCCTGTGCACCACCTGTGTGTGGTGCCCACAGCCACCAGGAGAGGGCGCCAGAGCCCCAGAACAGGAGTTACAGATGGCTGAGCTTCCGTGTGGGTGCTGGGAGCCAACCAGGTCCTCGGCGTGAGCAGCAGGTGCCCTTGACCTCTGAGCTTCTCTCCAGCCTGTTTTTTGTCGCCCCCAGGGTCTCTCTATGGAGCAAGGCGGGCCTTAAACTCCTCAGCCTCCCAAGTGCTGGGATGGGAGGCCTGCATGGGAGGTCTGGTTGAGCGAACTTTACCCCAGATGGCAGGTTCCTCTCGGACACCAGAGCTCGTATTTCTTCCCTGGGGACAGATGCTGCGCATGGGGCGGGGTGGGGAGGGGGGGCAGAACCTACTTGGCAGCACAGGGCAGTGAGCGGGTGTCCCAGTCATCATCATGACATGTGGATGGGGCCTCATGACCAGACCCTTGAACTTGTGCAAGAACGTCGGTGAAGTGGGTGAAAGGTCAGGCAGTCAGCTGCTCGTCAGACTCCACAGCTCACCTTCCCCCAGCTCAGCCCAGATAGCAGCCCCGAGGCAGCTCCGCCAGGGGCGGGGAAGGCGGGGCTCCAGGAGAGGGGACGGTGGCCAGATGTCACTACCATGAGTCTCTCTCAGAACTGGGGTGAAACTCACAGCCTCTGGTCGTACAAATGAGAAGCGGGGTGTGGTAATGCATGCTTGTCATCCAGAATTTAGGGAGCTGAGGCAGGGGGATTGCTGTGAGTTCCAAGTCAGAACACCAAGAGAAGTTACAAGGTGGCTCAGAGGGTCAAGGACTTGCTGTCCAAGGATAAGAACCTGAGTTCTGGTCCCAGCAGGCGAAAAGCAGGGTAAGTGTGGTTGCCCAGGGCCCCCTGGAGCTTGCTGACTGCTAGACTGGCCCTGTCTGTGAGCTCAGGGTGCATGGGGGAGCCTGACTCGAACACGCCGGAGTGACCGACGGCAGCCTTCACCCCCACACTGGCAGTGCATGTACACAACACACATGCGTGAGGACAGGCACATGTGCGGACACACACACACACACACACACATGTACACACACGTGTACACACACACGTGTACACACATGTGTACACACACGTACACACACGTACACACACGTACACAACACACATGCGTGAGGACAGGCATGTGTGCGGACGGACACACACACACACGTGTACACACACACATGTACACACACATACACACACTGTACACACACATGTACACACATGTGTACACACACACGTACACACACACACACAAGTGCCTGGTGTGATGACTCATCTCAGCACTAATCACTCCTACGATTAGGAGTTCAGGTCCAGCCTTGGCTACATAGCCTGTTGGAAGCCAGCCTGGTCTACTTGAGACCCTGTCACACAGTATCTCTCCTTAAACAGGACACTGGAAGTTCTAAGTCAGACACAACCTTTAAAGTCCTGTATCGGCCACTGGCGTACAGTGTGACTCCTTGCCTGGTGGAGGCCGAGGCAGGCGGATCTCTGAGCCCAGGTCAGCCTGGTCTACAGAGTGAGTTCCAGGACAGCCAGGGCAACACAGAAACCCTGTCTCCAAAAACCAAAAACCAAAATCAAAAGAGAAAAAAGTGTGGCTCCTTCTCGTCTCCTGGCTCTTCTGCCTCCCATGGCCCCCACCCTCCCTGGTGAAGGTGACTCAGTTCTCCTGAACGCTTGTCCTTTCCGGTGCCCAGTTGGAGACCCTCTCCCGAGCCACGCCTCTTTGTGTCCAGCTCCCGGGGAGGGTTACTCTCTTATTCTTTTTTTTTTTTTT